AGGATATGGCAGAATGCCAACCAACCGGGGTATTCTGGACATTTCCAGTAAGTCGGCCAGGGCAGTTTGGGGATTCCAGGTAAACGTTTTACTTCTATATAAAGGAGCTGAGGTAACCCCAAAACCCTAACCCCCATTCATTCTACATTCTTCTCCATTACTGTTGCTGCTCTCTCAGAGCAGCTCTCTTCATCTCTTTCACATACTGACTTGAGCGTCGGAGGCTGTACGCCGGAAACCCCTCCAGCGTTGAGTTCTTGTAGGTGTTCTCGCGGTTCAGCAACGGTTTGGAGGCTATCAAGTCAGATCTGAGCTCATTCCCATCGGTTCATTCCAGATCTGGGCGGTTTCTTATCGGTTCACTCCAGACCTGAGAGGAGACCCATCAAAGCTCGTCCTTCAAATCAAGCTTATTTTAATACATGAAACATATAAGCTAATCAAATAAGTTATAATATAACTTATATGCTTAAGTAAATTTCGAGTTTATAATTGATAACTTATGACTTATGGATGAATAACTAGCTTATATGATAAATTAAAGTGTTTGATGAAATTAACTGATAAGCTAGTTTGAATAAAAATGTTAATGAATTATTATAAAACTACTCAAAGAAGTTTATGAGATAAGCTCGATATTTTTGAAAAAGTTTATCCTATCAACCAAACTTATTTGAATACAAAAAATGTATAAGCTAATCAAATTATAAGATATAAGCTAGCTAGCCTATATGTATGTTTACCGAGCACGTGGGGTTTTGCTCAGCAATTGCGGACTGTGAGTTAATTAATGTTTGATGCGACAACTCCCGCTTCACTTGGAGTCAAGTACAAGCGCCTTAGTTTCTGAGGCTTGGTTTGTAGTTTCAATTGTCACGCATGTACCTCGGTACTTGTTATTGTTCATCTTTAATCAGTAATTAGTACTCTATATCTGCTGCTAGCTTTAGTTTCCTCGTTTATATTTGTTAAATTATTAATGCACATTCTAGAAATAATTAGATTGTCATTAGTTAGAATTAGTTGTCATTATTGAGATTTAGTTGTCATTAGTTGGCATAGATCAATTATTTGAGCTCTAGATTATTCTTATAACTACTATATATATGTAAGTGATCCGTGGATGTATTGTGTAAGAGAGTAAGAAGGAATTGATCAAAATAATAAGTACTTCATCTCTTCAGCACAAATCCTTCTCAAATTCATATTAAAAAATAAAATAAAAATTCTCTAATCTCCCATTATATCTACACTAATACAAAATATTTTAGATACCAACAGTGGTATCAAAGCCCGGTTAGATTAATAACTGGGCGAAATTATTTTCCAATATCCTCCTATTTTTACATATCATGTCCAAATACCCTACTTTCACATATCCTTTCACTTTCATATAGCCTTCTAAATTTTTATTAGGGCCACTTCCCAAAACACCCATCAAATAGCAATTCCTATTTTTTCCGGCGAAAATTATAATTATTGGGCCATTAAAATGAGGACATATTTTATGTCTCAAGGCCTATGGAATATTGTCGAGAACGGGTATACTGTCCTCGATGATATATCCACTTTGTCTACGACGGACGAAGAAAAATTCGACCGGGAGAAAGAAAAGGATAGTTTGGCTCATTTTACACTACAAATGGCTATGGCGGAGTCTTTATTCCCAAGAATCTATGGAGCACAAACATCAAAAGAGGCTTGGGATACACTAAAGGAAGAATATCAAGGAAGTGACAAGGTACGTCATCTAAATTACAAACACTAAGGAGAGATTTGGAAAATATGAAAATGAAAGAATCTGAGACCGTAAAAGATTACTACACTCGATTAAGAGAAGTAGTAAATCAATTAAAAGCATTTGGAGAAAATATCACTGACAAAAGGGTGGTAGAAAAAATTCTAATTACTCTACCAGCTAAATATGATCCTATCGTCACCACTACTGAAGAAACTAAAGATTTGGATAAATTGTCAGTGACAGAATTAATAGGTTCACTTGAAGCCTATGAGAAAAGACTGAGTATGCGTGAAAATGATACAGTAAAAAATGCATTTCAATTAAAACTAAATTTACGGTCTCAGAATTCTAAAATTGGGGGAAGAAAATTTAGAGAAAATAACAAAAATAAAATATAGTATGATACACCATGTAGAATTTGCAATAAAAATAATCACAAAGAAGAAGAATGTTGGTTTCAAGAGAAAAATCAATGCAAACATTGTCAAAAGTATGGCCACGTCGAGGAAAACTGTTGGGGCAGAAGACAAAATCAACGGGCAAATTTTTCAGAAGAGACTGAACCAGAAGAATTATTGTTCTATGCTTCCAACGGTACAACAAAAGACAAAAGAAGCATTTGGTACTTGGACAGCGGCTGCAGCAATCACATGACATTCGGTGAAAGTATTGTTTGCAATATCGAAAAATTCAGTTCAAAAGTCAAGATTGAAAACGGCAACTACTTGGAAGCAACGGGCAAAGGAACTATCACCATTGACACAAGAAAAGGGACAAAATATATCAAAGATGTCCTATTGGTTCCAGCAATTGATCAAAATTTACTAAGTGTCGGCGAAATGTTGAAAAAAGGCTACAACTTGCATTTCGGAGGAGAATCATGCATCATTTATGACAAGAACAATAAAGTAACTGCAAAAATCAGAATGGGGGAGAATCAGTGTTTTGAAATGGAATTTCAATACCCAACACAAATTACCAAATCAAGTGTGAATAGTCAAGGAGAAGACGCCAAGAAGAGAAATACCGGAGTCCTGAAATGAAGTCATCAGAAAAAGCAAGCTTACACAGTCATCAGGAGACAAGTTTCAAAACCACCAGAACAAAAGTCAGAGTTCTACAAAATGTGCAATCGAGCAATTGTCGAGCAAATAAATACAAGCGAAATCACTACAAGAAAAATTCAAAGACAAGCCGTACAAAGTCACTACATTCATGGACAAGCAAATAGAGCTCGAGTACATCGCTACATAAGATCAACTAGAGACACGAAGGCTTTACCTCGACCAAGATTCGAGATTCTACGTGAAAAACTTAAAATTATCCAAATGTGCATTAAGGGGGAGTGTTAAATTATTAATGCACATTCTAGAAATAATTAGGTTGTCATTAGTTAGAATTAGTTATCATTATTGAGATTTAGTTGTCATTAGTTGGCATAGATCAATTATTTGAGCTCTAGATTATTCTTATAACTACTATATATATGTAAGTGATCCGTGGATGTATTGTGTAAGAGAGTAAGAAGGAATTGATCAAAATAATAAGTACTTCATCTCTTCAGCACAAATCCTTCTCAAATTCATATTAAAAAATAAAATAAAAATTCTCTAATCGCCCATTATATCTACACTAATACAAAATATTTTAGATACCAACAATATTATATGTTATCTCTTTAAGGAAGACACAAGAAAAATTATTTCATCGCGAGAGGGACTTGGCAAAAGGTCGTTGAGGCATGCTCTGTAAACTTTTCGGATGGTGCTACTTGTAAAAAAGCCTGCCACAACCCATTCGTGTTTTAGCAGTTTTTTACCGGCAATGTACACAGCTCATGAAGGAACAAAAATGTGATTTATGGATCCAAAGGCTCGTTGTACATATTTATGGTCATGTAAAATGCATATTTAAGTAGAGTAATTTATATATAAAAAATAATAAAAAATTAAGTGAAAAAAAAGGGAGAGTGGAACAAAATAGAAAGCGCATATTCACTAAATACGTTTTCAGTACAAATTCAATTTTAAAACGTATTTAGTGAATACGTTTTCCAATTTTTTTTTAACAAAGGAAAACGTATTTTGAAAATACGTTTTACAATAAAAAACATATTCATTAAATACGTGCCTTTGATTTTGTTCCACTCCCCTTTGTTTGTGTATTTTTTTGACCAAAACTTTAATTTTTTTTTTTTTTTAATTTTCTGGTAAAAAATCTATTTAAGTATGGACTGCAATTATTATTAATTTATTATTATTAATTATTACTATTTTTTTTGGGTCTTTTGCTTCTTTTTTCCTCTAGCACGGTACATATACATTAATACGAGCACTTGATAATATGTAAAACAACATCAAAATCAAAATCGATGTTTGAGTTGATGATAGAAGTCATGACTAACTACTTCAATTTATTCGTGTTATACCACAAATACCCGAACCGCTGGACCGCTCCTCTCGAACCGGGTTGCGTCTCCTTGATCGTCGGTACCTGCAAAACACGCCGGGGGTGGTCCCGGCGCGAACACTCCGACGCTCAAGTCAGTGATGGTCTAGAGAGAAAACGGCAGAGTAACGAGATAGTTTGTGAAATGTGTGTTGTGTAAAAATGAATGAACATGCTCCTTTTATAGGAGAAACTTGGAGAGTCCTCTTGAGACAAGAACTCTTCTTGAAGTTTATCTCTTTTGTTTCTAGAGTCCTTATTGTTGTCAACCTCCTCGCAACTTAATCTCCACGCCAATATCAAATTCCAGCCCCTTTGACGGTGCCCCTGGGCCGAGCTCCCTAAATGCCGAGTACTTCTCTAACGCCGAGCACCCGGGCCCGCCGAGCACTCTCTA